CCTCTCAAAATCTGAAGAGCTTACTAAATGCAAAAAAGGAGAAAAAACTTTCAGAAAAATGTTGAATATATTTGTCTTTTGGCTCAGACTTTTTCTTCAGTGAACTCCCTACATGCTGCTGGCTAAGTGATTTAGATGTTCAATAATATTTAATTTTTGTAGGGCTGAGGGAAACAGGTAGGGAAAGTTGTTTGGACATTTTTTTGGATTATTACTATCTGTGAAGTTGTTTCAAACTTTAGAATTTACCATTTCTCTTTTATGTTAAATTTATATTAAATTTTTATGTTAAATTTGGGTACCTTGGTATGTTTTTAGTTATTTCAAACATAAATGATAATAAAAGGAAGAGCTTAACTATTAAAATAATGAAAACTTATTAATATTTAAAATTCACATTTATCCCATAAGAACATGCAATCAGTATTAAAATTTTTTATTGGAATTAACTTTTTAGTTACAAAAACAGAATTTTATTAGAAGTTACAAACTATAGAAACTGGTTTTTCCAGTTTTAATACAAATAAGCTATATAGTCAATTATGCTAAAGAATCATATATTTACTAACAACTTAAATTCTATAAATTTATTAAACATTTATTGCTATATACTTATGATATTTTTTCTAACAAGCCTGCAGTAACCACATTAAATGTCCCCCCATTTATTAACGAAGCAAAACATCTACCCCATTAGCTAAAATGTTGCATACTGGACAATACTTGATAAATTTTATGTCATACGACAGTTTAGTCATGTTCTAACTTCACAAAATTAAATATTTAGAAACTTTATTATGAATCACATGAAGGGCACTCATTGTTATATTTAATTGATCCATTTATCATGAAATGTAGCCATTTTGATGGACATAGGCTACATTATAAAAAAGTATGATGAAAACCTAAGTCTATGACATTCTTTTAAGCTACTATTTTAAATATATTTTAAAAAAATGTATTATAATATCAAAAGTTCACTAAGTTCATGTTAACTTGGAAGGCCAAAAAGACCTGTACCTTTATATTGTGTCTTAAATAAATTATTTAGAACTCTGTTTAAAATGTGAGCAACACATTCTTACAGCTAGCTAGGCATGATGGGTGCTTATCATATTTCGACATTTTTTTGCACAGTAGGTTATAGCTTGCTGACAGGATCATCAAACTAATGCATTACAAAAATGACCTATATATCATACTTTGAATTTATTTTAAAAATGACTTGTTAAATGTTTTTTCCTTCACTTAAATAGAAGCTGTCATAAAGTGAAGAAAGCTTCAATCCAGGTGAGCTGACATTACTGCATTAACTTACTTTAATACTTAAATGTCTATGAAACTATTTTTTAACTCCCTAAATATTTTCATCTAAAATACTGAAAATTTTTAAACTATGTGTTCTTGTTGATTTTTATTAATTTAATTTTACTGAAATGTGCTGAAATCAAATTATGATAGCAAAAGTTACCATATTTAGAAAGCCTATTTTGGTATTCAGAGTCATTAAGTACAGAGAAAAATAAAGGGTATACCAAATTACAGAAAATACATGAATACTGGTTAATTGAATGGAGTTTAATGGTTGGGTTTTCATGACACTTTCTAAACATTTGAAAAAATAAATTCCTGTTTAAATGTAAAAAATATTATTTTAGTGATCATTATGACATTGCTTGACCTAGTACATAAAAATAGTTGGTACTTAATAACTAAAATTCAAAGTAGCATTTTTTCTCCCATAAAAGTATCTAGTAAGTTCACTGTCTTCAAAATCAATTGTCTTATTTTCAGATGTAAATGATGCCCTTAAAATTAAGTCTGTTAGCTCAAAAGGGTGCATAATATTTTTATCTTTTTCTATGGCTCACAGAGACTATCTTATAGAGCCAACATTGATTTTACCTGAATCAGCTCTGGGGCAAAACAATCCCTGTATAGCTAATAGATAAATTAATAAATAAAAATTTTCTTCTAGATCTTAGGCAGAAGTGGAATATATATATTGAAAACATTGCTTTATATTAAGGGTAGCAATAATTCTAATTCAGCACAAGTTTACCGAGGTAGATATAAAGTCCAGGTATTAATAACCAAGACTTTTAATAGGCATTTTCCAAAGAGAGGGACACATTAGGTTGACGAGCAGAAAAATACATATTATATTTAAGGAAAGATATAGCTACACACATTAGAAAGTGTAGAAAGTTTAAGTGTGGCTTTTCAGTGCAATGACATTCTCAGGATTTTAAGAATTAGAATGAAGACTTAGTTCTAATAAAATAAAACTTTATCTTCTAAATGGAAATAGAGTGACCAAATTTACTTTTTTGATATTAATGTAATTTTATGAAGCAGAAAATATTATTGAATTGTAGAGCTCTCAGTAAGCAAATCTAATATTTAAAAATTCTGAATCCTTAATGTTCAATTCAATACTTCCTATTCACAAGGATTTTATCTAGCCCTCTTTACTTATGATTAATTTCTTTGATTTGTTACAAATGTTGAAATATCTTCCAAATACCTTGAAAAGTTCCTTCAAGTTCTAATGAATGTATTTTAAATTATTTTTTGTTCTTTTAACTGAGTTTCTCTGAAGCACAAAAAATAATTTGTAGCAATATTTTTTATATTAATTCAACCTTCCCTTCATATACAATTCATAGTTTCTGAATCATATGAGGACCCAGAACAAGGAATAGTAGTTAGTCCCTCTAACTTAAGATTCTACATATATAGCCATTTATATCATGACTTGTAATGAAAAAGGCACTGCCACTTAAAAACAAAGCTAACACACTGATCTGTAAAATAGTTAAAGTCTCTTTCTGATACACTGGGATATGGTACATCATTTGTTAAAATGCAAAATTACAGAAATTAAGCATGACAATTTTCTAACAGATACTCTACTGCCTTCTTTTAAGATTGGTTTTGTTACCTTTTTTGTGTGCATTAATGAATTTTCAAAGTTTCTCAGTCCTTTTTTTACTTATATAGTTGGAGAAAAAAAGTATATTACCCTCATAAAACTGAATGAAAATAATAATGAATCCATGGAAATATTTGGGTTTTTCCAGATAATACTTTCCCTGATATACATTTCAAATAATAGCACAATTGTTCAAGAAATTAGAAAATACTTCAAATGTAAATTGTTTTTGGAATACAATTACTCTCGGACCTCTATAATTTACAACATTTTCAGAACATACATGCCTTGGTATATACTGAATAAGCTTGAATTGTGAAAAAGTACTAAAACTTATCCTGTAAATACCAGACAAATGGAATAAATATACTGTTTCATGATATTTTGAATAAGGCTCTAATATCAGAACACAAGACTTTCTACACAGGATATTGTTCTCACAAATAATTACAGTAAAGGAAAACATGTACATATAGATGGAGTGGCTTTAGGATGTGCCAAAATATGCTCTAATGTTCCTATGCTGCTAAATTTTAGTGTTCAACTGAAGTATATTAATCCCAAAATATTAAGTTGACATCCCCAACAAATTATATACATCAACAGACAGTTTATAGTTCTATATGACAGAGGGGATAATAAAAGAAAGAGGATAAAAAACTGTCCTAAGTTACAAACAATTGGGCGATTACCTTTTGGAATTTTTTTTTTTATAAAAATTTAACAAATAATTTTTGTAGGTAATCTTTATTCCTGTTCAACAAGAGTACAAAAAAGCTTTGGGTATTAGAGTGGACACAAAATTATAATATAGTCAAGAATATCTGACTCCTAACACATAGTATAATATAATTCCATTAGGTGCTAGATTAGATTTTAAATACAACAATTTCAATATTACTAATTTATGTAAACACTTTTGCTATAATGCCCACTCTACAAAAACCTAATTTTGTTTTGAGAGGAAGATAATTTCTCTAAGAACAGCTGAGATGTACCTATAAACTGATGTAAATTTTTTTTAAAAGACAGGTCAATATTAAAAAAAATTAAGTCTTCCATACCATATTAACAGATGATCCTAACTAATATTTTAAAAGGTTAAATAAAGAATTCAGTGTTTTTTTTAAAATTCAAGGCTAATTTATTTGTAAACTAGAAGCCTTATAAGCTAAGACATGAAAGCATAGACAGGTGGCTGATTTACTTTCAATAAATATCTTATGTTCTCTCAAGAAATGATATATATATATAGTGAATGTTTAAACCTGCTGAGATGCGAGAAAACACTTAACTTCATATATCAATGACAAAAGAGGATCAGTAATAAATATACATGTATTATTAATTGTATTTTAATGTCAGCGTTGGCCATGGAATATAGTATGAAACAAATGGTCCTTATCTGACAGACTTCTAAAATTCTCAATATAAATTATTTAAAAGATATATTTGATAAGAATTCAAATTATAAATGAAAAGTATTAGATATTTTAGCAAAAAAATTTAAAATATATGACAAAACATACATAAAAACTAAACACTGTGAAACTGAAATAATGAGAATGAATAAATATCTAAACATATTCTATATCAAGATATGGCCTTTTTGAGCCCAGCCTATCTTAAAAACAGTTTATCTTAACTGCTTTAATACACTGTGGTTGAATCTATACAATGTAAAACATCTGGATGAAAACTGAGAAATGTAATCACTTAGAGGTTTGTAAAGTATCTGGATGTTAGGAATCACGTAGACAAAATATCCAGATGACTGACTGAATTTTCAGTTTTTAATCTAGACACATACTGTCTTGTACCTGTAGCCTCTGTCCTAGTTATCAGAGATAAGTCTATGTTACCATAAATGTGTATAAATTAATAAAAGAAACCATGATTTTATCCTGCACCTCTAATGTTCTGAGCAATGAATTGCAAGATTCCTTTTATTCCCTTTACAAAAAGCAAAGACACTTTTAACTTAAGCATATTCATTAAACTCAGTACCAAACCACATATGGAGCTAGTAGCTATTTAGTGTTTGGTATAATAGTTAGCCAAGATTTTACTTAACAGAGTCAGTAGAAGAAGGTGGAGTAAGAATTGAATCTTCTGCTCTGAATTCTTTCCTAGGATGAAAGTGAGGGCTTCGGGTATATCGAGGTTTCAGTCCCACAGATGAAGGCTGAGAAAAGCTTCTTCTCACAGGATGTAACCTTGGTTCCTATCATAATATAAAAAAAAAAAATAAGGATTTTTTCCAGTCTATGCAGGTTAGAACAACATAATTTTCACTTAGTGAACTCAAAAATAAAAAACTGAACATTTTATTTTATATACTATTTTGGGGAGGGGAGGGAAGAGAGTGGATGGTCCTTTGACTTTATTGGTGTGATCTTAACTTGCTGTGGAAATTACCTTCACCAACATAGATCAACAACTCATTCCCCAATTATAGTCTTAGAATGTTGCTCAGGGCATTAAGAGGTTAAGTGATTTGTCCATGATCATATAGCTAGTATGTGTCAGAGTCAGAACTTGAACCCAGGCTTCCTTCTTCCAGGACCCTTCATCCACTATAGCATCCTACCTATCATTTTATGTCATAGATACGGATAGAGTCACATTACATAGAGAAAAAACTATCAACTATTTCTGGTCATCTGAGTAATAACTTAGCACAGTGATATGTAACATGTAATCTAAATGAGTGGTGCTTAATTTGACCCTACTGAGGGTTGGCATTGATAATTCTTTGCTCAGAAACCCAGAAGAAAGGCAAGCTTTGGATAGTGACTCACTATGTACAAAACAGATGATAAACAGAACAAAAAGGAATGTATATGTTTAGAAATAAAAATAGACACTCTGAAATCCAATAATTTGCTCAGGCTATTATTACTTTTCTGAGATCAGGTATTTTTGGGTCCCAAAAGGTATACTGTAGCAATGGGATCTAATACATTCTATATTTAAAGGTTGGGAAAACTATTTAAGTCGTGGTCCAGTAAAACAACTTCCTAACCCTGAATGAATACACAACAGTAATTTATCAAATGATATTTCTAAAGTCTTTTAAAAGTTGAAATAAGGGGCAGCTAGGTGGCACAATGGATGGAGCACCAGCCCTTAAGTCAAGAGGACCTGAGTTCAAATGCGGCCTCAGACCAAACACTTGACACTTACTAGCTGTGTGACCCTGGGCAAGTCACTTAACTCCAATTACCTTAAAAAAAAAAAAAACCCCACAAAATTGAAATAATTATAAAAGTGCTCCATTTATGCTTAAGGAACAACTGATGTAGTGGAATACATAGACTTTTTTGTTTAATTTGTAAAGCACAGTAATTTATATCTTTAAAAAAAGACACTGGTTGATTGCAAAACTTAATATAATTTCTAGCATTTTTGCAAGTGAACCACTGTATGAACATTGCTAAAATTGTCAGGTGTTAACCATTTTCAACTTTAAGAAGGCTTCACGAAAAGGCCACAAAGGCAACTAATTACTTTATTCTGGAGTACCTGTCAGACACAGATAACTTTCTGCCTAAAAAGATTTGCAATTTGTGTAGCTTTCTGGAAAATTCATTCATATAATTTCAGGACTATATGGTAGTTTTTAACCAGAAAAAAAAAACACATTTAAAGATATATTTTACATTACATTTATTTTTTCTAATCAAAATAAGTTTTGCATATTAAATGAAGTACCTTGTCTCTTAAAATTTTAAAAATTTCCACTAAAAACTGCCATAGTTCCATAAAAATGAACACTACGATAATTTTCAGCCAGGTACTTCACAGAATTGTGAGGAATGTATTATGATTTGATCTGTTTATAATAAATATTATTATAGTTATCCATTTATTCTCAATGCTATGCCAAAGTCTTCTAAAACAAAAATTTCAAGCTATTAGATTCAACAGTATTAAAAAGAATAACTTATCAGTGTGGTGATGAGGAACTACAATTATAATTGTTATTAATATCATATTATAAAGCAGCAATTATTACAGCTTAAAAGGTGGTATAGTGGATAGAGTGCAGGGCCTGGAATCAGGAAGACCCGAGCTGAAATCCTACCTTACATATTTCCTAGCTGAATGACCTTGGGCAAGTCATTTAACCCTATTTGCCTCAGTTTGCTCATCTGTAAAATAAGCTGGAGAAGGAAATGGCAAACCACTCTAGCATCTCTGCCAAGAAGACTCCAAATGGGGTCATGAAGAGTCAGATATGACGGAAAACAACTGAACAGCAACAAAAAAGAAAATAAAGAACAAATAATCCTCTTTTATAATTTCAAATGCTGTGGACTTCAAAAGTCTGATAAACAACAATGATTTTCGTGTCTCAATAAGGAGACAAGAAAAGCAGGAAATGGAAAAAAAGTCATTTAAGGGGTGATGTGTGTGTGTGTGTGTGTGTGTGTGTGTGTGTGTGTGTATACCATGTTCCTTCAGAAACATAAGGGATATATGTAATTGTGACACATCTCCAAAACATGAAAAGAAAAAAAAAGAATTAAAAGGTAGACACAGCCTAAAAGAGCCTTTTCATTTCTTGGAGAAAGATAAAATATGAGTATTTCTGGAGAAATAAAAGGACATCTGAAGTCCTTTTTTTTTTCATATCCAGTTGTCCCTTATACATATTTTGTATTAGAAGACTGATATGAGTATAATTTCAGCAGAATTCTTTTGTAAATTCATTTTAATTCAACACTTATTAACCATTTACTGAGCACTGGGAATAGAAAAAAAAAAAAAAAGGAAAGGGAAATCCTACAAGTACCCAAGTACATATACTGTAAATATAAACAACTTAATGGCCAACCCTGGAAACAATTCTATCACCACTACTCTAACCATGGATACTAGTATCCATAATTAAAGGCAATGATTACTTGATAATTACATTAATTCAATTTTCTCCATTTTTAAACATATTTTTAATCTTTTAATTATTGTTTCAATAATATCCCTTTAGATAGGAAATTTTCAAATGTTCTGATACTGGTAACATTTTCTAATACTTGAGAGCAAAATATTCTAGTAACTTGGTGAAGTAGCACTTGGTGATACCAAAAATTATTTCTTAAGATATTACATTTCTTAGGATTTTTTAACCACCTTGAAAGGGCCTCACACTACAGCTGAGTCAATATGTCAGCAGTATGACCTTGGTCTTCATTAGGAAAAGCTTATCTTCCAGAATAAGCTGATAGCCCTTTGTGCTCTTTCTTGGTTAGGCTAAATATGAAGTATTGTATTCACTTTAGGAAGCACAATGATAAACTGGAGAGTTTCTACAGTGGGGCAAAAAGGATGATGAATGGCCTTGAGCTCATGTCATATTGGGATTGCTTAAAAGAATTTTGGATGTTTAGTCTGAAGAAGACAGGATTCAGATGGAACGTTAACTTTAAGTATATGAAGGGTTGTCATGTACAATTAGGATTAACACTTGCTCTGTCTGACCTCAGAGATTGGAACCAGGAGCAATAGGTAGAAGGCAAATTTAGGGAGGCAGCTAGGTGGCGAGGTGGATAGAGCACCAGCCCTGAAATCAGGAGGACCTGAGTTCAAATATGGCCTCAGACACATAACACTCACTAGCTGTCTGACTCTGGGCAAGTCACTTAACCCCAATTGCCTCACTAAAAAACAAACAAACAAAAAAAACCCCCCAAAACAAAAACAAGGCAAATTTAGGCCTGATGATAGAAAAACCTTTCTAACAGTGAGTGGTATCCAAAAGTGGATTGGGCTGCTTCAGGTTCTCCCTTATCAGAGGTCTTTTGTACAGAGTGGAAAATTACTTGGTGGGTGTTCTCTAGTGGGGATTCTTTTTTGGGGATGAGTTGAATCAGATGGCTGCTGAGGTTTCCTCCCAATTCTAGACATTTATGATTATATTTATTATGATGCAAGCAGAAGACCTAGGTTCAAGTCCTGCTTCGGATATGTACTAGGGAGGTGATCTTTGGCAAGCCTCTTAGACTCTAAAGGCCCCTAGGCAACTCTTTTAAAAGTTGAAAAGTGGGTTCAAATCTGCATTGATAGAGGGAGTTTCCTTATCAGGTGTTTCCTATACCAATCAAAACATTGGTCTAGTTTTTAAAAAGATATAGAATAGTAGAAAGAACACTGGATTATGGAGTCATAATAACCCAGATTATGAGGCAGGTGGGTGGTCCAGTGGATAGAGTGCTGGGCTTAGAGTCAGGAAGACCTGAGTTCAGATGTGGCCTCAGACAGTGATTTAGACATGTGACTCTGAACAAATCTCTTAACCTTTGCATGCCTCTGTTCCCTCAACTGTAAAATGGGGATAATAACAGCTACCTCCCAGAGTTGTTGTGAAGATCAAATGAGATAATAATTGTAAAACACTTAGCACAGTGCCTGACACATAGCAGAAGCTTAATAAATGACTGTTTCTTTGCTTCCTTAGACCTGGGCATTGGTTCTGAGTTTAATACATAACAGATATGTTAAGCAAATCACTTAACCTCTTTGAAACCTGTATTTCTCATCTATATTAAATGTCTCGGGATTGCTATACTACCTATCTCAAAAAACCCAAACAACTAATGTATATGAAGGTATTCTAAACTAAAATGGTATGCAAGAAACACTGTTATCCTGAACTGGAATAATATAGTAGGCCATACTATGATAGAGCAGTCACAGTTTTGAAAGCATAAAGTTAAAGTAAATAACATTAAGACTGTTAAAGTCTTTTCTTAATACTTTTATCATAAGGAGAATTTTGGACACTTATACACCAAATTTAATTGCGGTCATTCAACAAACATTTATAAAAAACCTCAAGTGCTTGACTGTGCTGAAAAGGCCAAAGAAAATCAAACCTTTAATATGCACCCTCCTTATCCACAAGAAGCTTAGGGGAGATAATATAAATAAATACATGTATAATGATAGCTGTAGTACATCATGGAATGCTGAGTCTATATCTTGGTCACTTTTAGGGATAGAGCTCAGTACTCTATGGAACATGTTTCCAATCCAACCCGTTACACATGAACAGGACAAAAAAAATTGAATGTGATTAATGCAGAAATAGCAAACAAAGTTTTAGAAGAGTTGAAGACTGATTATTTCTGCCTGGGGGGTGGAAGAAACCAAGGAAAGTTTCCCAGAGAAGGTGGTATTTTACTTGGACCTTCAAGGACACGTAAAATTTCAACAGGTGGA